GCGATAACAACTCTTCAGACATTCTTCATCAGTAGAGTTTGTATTCTCTGTCCTGCAATAGAAATCGGCTTTGAGTGTACTTGCATTACATACCATGGCCTTGGCGTATGTGAGATTCGTTAAGTTTTAAATCTAGTTCATTCTAAGTCTATTAATTTATGGGCCAATATTTTTTATGAAATAAGCGAATGATGGACAGTCATGAAAATATCATATGCTTACCGTTCAACATCAGTGGTATAGTCACATGGTGAATATCCATCATAATCTTTATCGGCCAAGTATGACAATGAGTGAGCTGTACAATTGTAAATTTCCTGCAAAAATTCGGTCGCTTAAAATTTCAAAATGCGAATTATCAAGAAAATTAAAAGAGGTGCTCCAGCAAATAGCAAGAAATTTGTGAAGCAACAAGATGCGACGACGCGATGCGCGCCGCATCCAGTTTCGCTGATAAATTCGACATCGCAAATTGTTATTTTCTTTGTTATTCTTTGCGCTTATTCTTGGATCGAAGTAGAATTTTGAAATGGAAAAAAGGAACCCGAATCAGGTGAAGTCGACAACGACTACGACAGTTGAATTCTTGTTCCTGGTCGTTACTCGGATGACGACACGCTGTCCCCTCATCATCATTTTCGAGCATTTCGTAGTAGGCTCGAACATCTACATTTACTTCATGTCGAAGTCCAAGGCATAGCTACAAAAAACAAATTGTTACGGTGACTTATCTAACGTGTGCGTGATTTCTTTTGTTTTTCAAAATAACTGGGTCTTTCTTAATTGACAATTCATGCATCACTTGTAAGTGAAAGACTTTTAAGCAAGGCATATTCAGAGATCTATAAAAGTAGATGTATTGACGGAACAGCAGTACCTGGCTTGCTTTCGTGCCTCAGTTGAGGCAGAGTGAGCCTATTGCAGTTATTGGTTTAAAAAAACACCTCGTTCCTTCAGGATTCGTTGATTCACTTCAGTAGCCATTTGACAGGAATGCAGTTAGCTCGCTACAGGCTTAACTCGCTCCAATTGGCTTCCCAAGCATTCCCAGAAGTCCTACTTTTTATCGGCTGTTTTTTGAGAGCATGGTACCGCTTGAGCTACAGCCCAGTGCTTTTTTTTCTTTAAAACTTCAGAAGCACAGAATTTTGATAATTTCTTGCTATCAGAAAAATACAAACATCTCCATTGAAGCCATCCATAACTTGGCTTTTTCCTTGCATAAAGCGCGCAACCGAACTTGGCCGGCCATGGAAGTCAATAGCCATACAGTCCACTTTTATTCCAGCCAAATTTTCCACATTATGAAGCATCATAATCACAAAAAATGCCCCCTGAAAGGTGCTATGAGAAAAAAAAGAGCAGTTAGAAATGAACTAAATGATTTCTACGATGACCCAAATTCAAAAGAATTTGTGAGATTTAGTCCAATCCATCATCAGCTTGATTCTGAAAGAGGGAGAACCAGCAGCTTCGCCGGATGGTTTATGCTATTGGTACTTGTTACGACTTGGATTGCTTTAGAGTGCTTCAGCCTTTTAGTGAGTTCGAATACAGAAAGAAATTTTTCTTTTTTTTTTCAAAAATATTTTGAATTACAAGTTGGTACTGAAATGTCTAAAACGCTACCATCTCCAGCTGCTACTCAGGCAACTTTTGAATTATAATCAGTAAGAGCTGCATTTGTTTGTTCCAGCTGTTGGTATTATCATTTGAGTTACAATCAAAGTCCAGTCTTCCTTAAAAAATCACGATTTCGAAACACGTTTATAAAAGGAGGTAAAAAAAGAGGCTCAGAAAATTAAAAAATTTTTAATCCATGAAGCTTAGTTCTTGCTCCTCGGA